CCCTTTGTGTAGCTTTGTGCATGATAATAAACAACAACATTCCTAAATAATCATTTTTCGCTATTAAAAATATCTAAAATACAATATAAAAATGTTTAGTCTGATTATACATTTGTGTTAATTAAAATATTGTCTTGTTTGAAGTTAAGCACAAAGCTACACAATGGGCCATCTGTGCTCTGCCCACCACGGGTATCGAAACCAGATTTCTAGCGTTGTAAGTCCGCAGAAATACCGCTGTGCTACTGGGGGTAGTTAAAAATCTAGTTAAGGTTTAATTAACGTTCTTAGGATAATGTCTTATGGTAAGACCAACGAAAGTTGCAGAAACGGATTATTCTGTTATGATTTGTTGAAAAAGCACTTAATATACAATTTTAGATTACGTTTTATTAATATATCTTCATTGCAAGAAATACTAAATATAACAATAAAAAGTAAAATAATTGAAAAAAATGATTTTAAAATGGATTTGTTTGTTTGACAGCAGAGGCACATTAGATTATTTGTTATGTCCAACGCGAGGAATCAAACTTCAGATTTTAGCGTTGTAAGTACGTAGAATCACCGCTGTTCCACCGGGGACTTTGAAAATAACAACCACAACTAAACCCTATATATATATATTAAGATATATACATATTTGTAATACAGTGAAATTTAATTAAATGTTATTTCCTTCTTTACTTAATTCGCTTTCCATACTTGAAGCAACCGTCACAGTTTATTCAGTTTTAGGTTTGTTAATTTTATGCATAATTATGTACAATTAAATATTTTATATAATAAATATATTTATCGCCCCTGTGGATGTCACATGACCGTAACTATAATCTTTTATTGGATTACGTACTTTACGATAATCTTACGTAACGATAACTCGAGGAAAACCAACGAGAGCGCGCGGTCTTTTTTTGGTAAGATGTATGTGGGAAATGGTGAGTGAGTTGGATTGTAATTTATATAGCTGATAAGAAAGTTTGCGAAGATAAGCGCATTTTTTTATCATTTGATTATCATATTAAGCATAAAGAAATATAAATAGCCGTGTAACTGTATATAACAAATGGATACTTTTTCTAATTATAGCCGTTTCGATGTTTGTTTTAGACTATTAGTATTACCATTTGTGCACGCTTAACAATAACATATAACAAATCGTATCACATGACCAGCGACCACGTGAATTTGGAATTTCGGGAGTATGTAACATTAGTGTTTGAAAATTCTGTTTTACAAAGGAAACTGATAGTGATAAAGGAAGTTTTGCCAGATCAGTGAAATATGGTGTAAAAGAAAGCCAACATTGATTCACGAGAGGAAATCTTGTCTTACTATTCTGTTAATTTTTAGGATGTTACCTCAATACCTGTTATTTGGATCAATGTTACTCAACCACAACAAACTTGCCAGTCCATGGGATTTCACAAAATCTTGCAGAATACTCAACTT